TTCTTGGGCAAAAAGGAAGAAATAAAGACACTTATGTGAAATAACACTGCAAAGTTCCATTGAGACAGAGCCGGAATATGGAGATGGAAAAAATAATGAATAAATGCAAAGACAACTTCACAACATTCCTCTGCTTGCCAGGACTCCTTCTTGGCAGCGAACATGCTCTGGACCAAAGTTATTCAGGCACCTGCACTCACTCAGCTCTGGACTGAGAGTCAGAGGGGATCTGGTTGGCTAAATAATTCCAATCTTTGTATTCGTGAAGGCTTTCACGGCCGGGATCTAATGGTTGTTGTGGGTTTTTCGGGCTCTTTGGCCGTGTTCTGAAGGTTGTTCTTCCTAACGTTTCGCCAGTCTTTTTGGCCAGCATCTTCACAGGACAGCACTCTGTGCTCTGGTGTAGTTGGGAGTGCAGTATTTATGGCTGTCAGATAGGCTTTTGTCTTTTTCTGTAATGGGTGATTAGTGTGTCTTGAACACGGGTAAAGAGCCCGAAAAACCCACAAAAACCAATTCCAATCTTTCTCCCCCTTCTTGGCCCTATGACCAAAGGTAAATACAGCAGGCAACTGAAGGTAGAAGGAGAAAAGCTTGAAAGTGGTGTAATTGGTAGTGTGTGCCTCACTAGTTAGACAAAGAGTTCAGCCTACCCAGAAACCCATGTATTATTGTATCTTCCTGGCTACTGCCACTTCAGACCAAGAGGAAGAATATGGTTTGCCTACAGCTATACACTTGGGACCAGCCATATTCCAATCTCAGAATACTTTTGTCTTCCACAAAATACTCTCTATACCCTAAGATTCATACAAGGAAGAAACCTTTTTGATCCAACCAGTCAGACATGTTCACAGTATTGGTACTCACCAGTATGCAGTGCAAATTAGTTAGAGTGACAACTTCACAAACAGTTTTTATTCGATCAATAAGTTTTGAAAAATAGTTGACCATTTCTTCCCTCTTAATGATTTTTGCGTATCGAGGAAAAGTTGGAGGAAGCAATCTCTGATTAACAAGGGGCTCAAAGCCCATCATAATAGGATGATCTGAAAATATATAAAAGTTAAATAATTCCATTCTTGCTCATAAGCTCTCCTTTAAGTGCTGTCACATATTTTATACAAACAAAAATATTCAAAAAATTAAAATAAACTGAAAGAAAAAGAAAACTTTCCACTAAGTTAAGCAGTGAGACCCTCTGTTCTAAGTCAGTATACCAGTTTGAAATTACTGTTAAGAATTCAATTAAGTTAAAATTACCAGAAATATAAGAGTATTTTTAAAAAAAGACAACCATGAATCATGAAATATGTCATGATTCAGAGCACCACACTTAAGATGTCTACCAATGTGCTTTTCAAAAGGAAAACCATTTATTTGCACTAACCTATTACTTACTGTACACATGAAATAGCAGCAACTGCACAATTTACAGCAAGTGCTTCAAACGGACAAGATGCTCTACCTAAGTACCAAATTTCATCAATGTTCTAATAACAACTGAATATATCTGCCAAATTCCATTTAAAAACTATCTTAAGATGAACACTAGAGGATTGTCTTCCATACCAATTCTGTCAATTCCCCTTGGAAGTTGGTGCCATCAAGCATGGTAGTCTTCCAGCATTTAAAACAACTATTTACCTCCTTTTGTTGTGTCATTCTGAGCCTGAATACCATGGTGTAATGAGTTGTGGATAGCAGAAAGCAGGTCAGCTGCCTGAGACGTCAGCTTCTGAGCTTCTGCAACTGCACTAGTCTGTTAAAATCAATTTTTAGAACTGTTTATGTTACCAGGTAAGAAAAGTAACACCTATTGTTTTAAGAAGCAGCACAAGAAAAACAATGTTGCTCATATTACAGTAATTTAAAACAGGGGTTGTCAACTCTTGGTCTGCGGACCGGTGCCGGTCGGTCCCGCTGGAACTGGGTTGTGGATACGAATCTCTGCCCCCCCCCCGCACACACACATGGGGCGTGTCACACATGCGTGCACGCTTGTCACCACCCCCGTGAGCGTAACAGGCCCCCCGCGCATGGAGCTCTCTCCCCTCAACGTGTCACACATGCGTGCACGCTTGTCACCGCCCCCGTGAGCGTAACAGGCCCCCCGCACATGGAGCTCTCTCCCCCCAACTGGTTCGCAGCCCCAAAAAGGTTGGGGACCGCTGATTTAAAATATGTATTTGCATTCCTACTACCTAATATTTTAGACATGTAGCCTCTGATATGTAAAAATATCGGGCTGCTTCATGTGGTGTGAAGGAACTGCTTTTAGAAACATACTTGTCCACTTCTGCTTCCAGGTCGGTAGAGAGGAAGACCGGAAGCTGCAGTCAAACCCCTGGCCCATCAATCCCAGGACTGCTGACACCAACTGATAGTGGCAGAGTTTCAAAAAACACTTATTTGATCATTGCTAGGTTATACAGGCAATGCATGCACCCTATCTCTCCGCTTCAGCCTCTCTCTTTGCAACCAGTATTGCAGGTAAGAACTTGAGATCATACTGTTTTATCCTGCTGAATTGCATTATACTGTTCTACAACTATTTTATGTTGTTTTACGGACCGCACTCCACCCTGAGATCTCTCAGTCAGGGGATGTCAGAACTATTCTAATTAATCAAATAAGAGCATCTCCAATGGATCAAACCAAGGCACCACCATTCCAAGGGTGACCAATGGATGAAACTAGGAAATTTACAAGCAAATCATGAAGGCAAGCATTTTCTTGCTTTTCAGGCTGAGGGTTTGTACTCAGCAACTCTGAGTAGCACAAGCTCTCTATGGAGGATCCACATAAACAATCTGGTTTGCATACCCAAAACGACAATATTCTGTAGCATTAGCAGTAACTAAGGAATTATTTAATAATCATACCTCTTTTTTGGTAAAGGCTATCAATACAGTCAGTAATACCCGTGTAAACTTCACTCTGCTGAATACTGCAAAGCACTGTTGATGCTACAAGAAATCAAATTACAAAATTAAGATACTTCAAACTCCTAGAAACTTAAAATTTGAGTAACATGCTCCCAGAAACATGCTTTACTCTTCATGCATACAGAGTTGCTTTGTAATTCTGAAGGCAAACATAATTTTAAAATAAATTCTCACAAACTAAATAAACAAAGCTTTTTTCTGAAAACAATTAAACAGGTAGTATCAAAAACCTTTGTGGCTCCAAGATCTTACCACTGATGAAATTAAATTGCAACATCTTCTATTATAGAACCCCTGATGATATTATATTACACATTACTGTGTACAGTTCCTACTTAGTATGGTGCAGAAGCCAAATATAGAGGCAAAAACAAACAAACAAAAAACACCACCCCCAACAATCTTGTGATTTTATATACAGCTCAGTCTTATTCTACATTGTCTTTCCACTTGTCAGTACACAAATACACTTTATTATACAGCATGTTTTAAATCATCTTGTACAGCTTACAAGAATCCTTACTTCAAGCTCCACTTCTGGATCTCTCTCTTCTCCTTGCCTGCTTCGAGTGCTCTGTAATTAAAGACACTGGAACATTAAATATACGGTATGCCAATCATCATTGTCTGCCAATATAACTGTACTTTATAATTTCCAACAATATGTGTATATATTGTTTGGAAGGTGTGCATGGAGCGAGAGGAGAGTAAAGTGTAATAGACAGAGTAGGCAGACCTGGCCTAGGAAAGCTAGACTGAAAATCAACTGGGGTGTAATGACAGGAGCTGTTCTGGTTTTCTCTTCTGCCTGTCTCATTAACACATTAGCACAGAGATCTAGGTCTTACATCAAAAGGGTATAAAAAGAGGATGAGAGTCTGATCAAACAGGCTCCATGTGAACTTTATCTCCTCATGCTTCATTGCTCCTGATACTCTTTTCCTGGCCTTGAGACTCTGATCTGGAGAATGAGATGGTATAATATATTTTAGAGCAGAAGTAAAGGGTACCACTCCTATATGTTTCTCCATGTAAAAATAAAACACTCAAAAGCAAAATCTAACACACCCGGGAAAAAGATTCCTATTCATTTTGGACCAGTTGAAGTTTCTGAACTGTCTTCAAATGAGACAAGATAATCATAGAAATCAACAAAAATGGCCATATTACAAGATACTGAGATTCCAAAACTTGCAGTATGGGTGTCTTCCTAAGGGACATATAGTCTATATTGCCAATAGACTTTTACACTGTTCAGTAGATGGAAATGAAATAATTGCAATAACTGGAAACGTTCAGCTAATCAATCTAGCAAGTCTTGATCCAGGATCAAACTACTTATTAATAGTCATATTTTTATACCAAATCTTGCAAAGCCTGAAAGATTGAATGCAACACAGCAGCCATTTTGATCATACCTAATGCATACACTAAGTCCTACCAGATAGTTACAGAAGTTCACTGAGTAACAGAAAATAATTAATGGACTGAAGGATTAATGACCCTGTGATTATTTTCTTGTAAAAACTGATAATATGTTTGTCCTTGTGTTCATTGTACTGGGAATTTCTATGTAAAAAATAAAATTATATTTTAAAATGGCCAAAAACATATACCTTCACTCGTCGCTGCATGTCATCTTAGCCATCCTTCAGCATACCTAGAAAAGTACCGTATGTAAGACACGTTTTGTTCATCTTAGTGGACATGTACATACTACGTGGAACTGTTATTCTATGCCAGTGTCACTGCAGCAAGGCAACATAGAATGAATGATTGTGCCCCATGGAAGTTTCTTGGGGTCGGATTGTTTAGAACAGCCAAACACACAAACACAGACACAAAATAAAATAAAAAATACAAGACACACACAAAAAGGACAGGAGAAAGGGTGTGAGGGCCTCCTCAGGCTCTATAAGACACCTCTGCTCTAGATGATTTAGAAGACATATCCTTTCATCACTAACCAACAAAAACTTGTGGGTCAGGGCTGATGTGATTTGCACATCAGAACATCTGGAGGAACTCCTAATGCAAAAAGCTGGTTTAGAGGATTTTCCCCCTTGGTTTATTTAGTTTAATAAACCTTTTCTTGGTGTAATCCAATGGTTCCCAACCTGGGGTTCCCAGATGTTCTTGAACTAAAACTCCCAGAAGCCTTCACCACTAGCTAGCTGATCAGGATTTCTGAAAGCTGTAGTCCAAGAACACCTGGGAACCCAAGGTTGGGAAGCACTGGTCAAATCAGTCCACAGTTACACTAGAATCTGCAACAATGATTTGAGTAAGCCCTACAGACTAAAACCAGAATTGTAAAAGACATATGTTGAACGAGTTTGAATGGATGGTTCACAGCTTGCCAGTTGGATATAATACTAAAAAAACCCTATGTTTGATAAGACTAATGATGCAGGATCCTTAGATTCTAGACAACTCAGGGTCATATGAAAACAGCCATTATCTTATTAAGTGATATCATATACAGTAAGTCTACAGACTTCCAAGTCACACTGGATTCCATAGGACTTCCTTCCAATGTAACTGAAGTCTTATTTTCTGAAACCACTAAAACATGACATTGTTCAAGAAAAGTATGATGAGTTGTTGAATTCTACCTGTAACTCGAAGATCTGTCACATTGTTTGCCATTTTAAATCCATATGTCATGGACTGAAAATCCTCCTAAAAGCAAAAGAGAGGGGAAGTCAGCACCATAATCCACACATATTTGTCAGCAGCATTTCTGCTTGAAGTGCAGAATTCCGGTTTCATACTGGAGCCACGCTCACAGTTGTTACTATATTACCTCTAAGACAATCACAAGATATGTAAAAGGTATGCTAAAAATCATCATTCCACCAAAATTTTAGGAAAAACAAAGCAACTTTTCTACAACAAAGGAAGAATACAAATCAAATAATTTCATAAATGAACTGTTCTAATTTGATATACCATATTTTTCCATGTATAAGACTATACTTTTGTCTAAAATCTTTAGACTAAAAATTGAGGGTCATCTTATACATGGAAGTAAGCTGAGGAGATAACAAAAACAAGTGAAGGGAAAAGCAGGAATCAAAGTGATCCTGCAGGGCTTTGATCCCTGCTTTCCACTCCACTTGCTAAGACCCACTTAGATTTCTTAATTTTGGGTTACAAAAGTGGAGGGCGTCTTATACACGGAAAAATACGATACTATTTCCTGGACTGACAATATAGCTTTACTTAACACCAATAAGACTGGATGCTTTGGATGTTCTGAAACCATCTTTCAAACCACGGTGGGCAAAGCGCAGCTCAGGATCCTTCCCCCAATGCCAAAGGGTGTGTGTGTGAGATTTTTAGAAAAAGATGAAAAAATGGCCAACCATGCTGCAGAAACCTTCAACGACTCAACTGGCCATTTTAAAGCAATTAATACCACCCTCTGCTCTTTTAGGCTCCAAATACCATTTAAACTTATTTTTAGAAAGGGGTGGATTTAGCCATGGTCCAGCGGATACAAAATGGGGCAGCTATGGCCACTTCAGACACTTGATGGCTGGCCACCCCTATTTTAATTAACTGTAATTGCAAGATCGGACAGCACAGGGAAATCTGGCCAGTTTTAAACCAGCAGAGCTTGAGGATCTCTTCTTGTGATTTGAAAGGCAGCACTCATAGCAATTTGTTCATGTAACATCCGAATGGGGCCACAGTTTGTTAGTGCTGCCTTATGAATTTTATTCACTGGTTTACATTTTAAAATTAGTGTTACTGATGCTTTGCTTTTGTAATACAGTGGACCTTGGACACATGAAATTTGGAGACAGAAAGGCAGGGTACAAATTCCCAAATAAAGAATATGCAACAACAACAACAACAATAATAACAAGAGACAGTTGCAATAGTTGCCAGTACTTTAGTGGAGGCAAACCAAGCAGACATGCCTGGAGGTTCTCTGTTCACACATGCAAACTACACCTGAGCTGGAGAAGGGACGTTTGCTACCTATTTCCACAATAAAGAATATAAGGTAGCTATGAGGAATGGACCAAAATGGAGGAGAATTTGAAAACAGAACATATTCCCACAATAAAAGCAATACAACATTTTCTAAGTAAATCAAAACAAAGCAATTTACAAGCACCAAACTACTAAAAGGCACGATGCAAACTGTATTTATTAAGTGGAAGGGGGAGGGGGGAATCAAGTGGACAAAACGTTACCTCTTCAAATACTGCAGCTTTGTTTACTTTTTCTCTGGCAATATCACAAATTTTTAGGATCCCAAGAGCAAATGCTTTCATGGCCGGATCCTCTATAAAGTCTGGATTATGAATGTAAAGGCAAGTGAATACGGTCTGTGCCAAGGAATGGCCTTCCAACCATGTTATCTGTAAAAATTATATACATAATATAAATTGACAGCAGGCCAGTTTTGTAACTTGCTTCATAAATACATCACTACACAGTAACTATTTAATTTTTTAAAAATACAATTATTGACAACAGAAAGGGGAAATGCTATACTTCAGTTTTTCCAACAGGCTACAGAAAAATATATATGAAGTGCTCCAATTTTCATCATGAACGTTTCTTACATCTATAATATTACATATTTTGGTAAACAAATAGCATGAATAAAATATTAATAATATTTTTATATTCTGGGACACCTGAAAGCAGAGATGAGAAATAAAACGATGGTTTTAATAGCTAATATTTAGATGGGAGCAACATTACTGGGTTGAGTCACAATTACTGTTTCATGTTACTTCAAGTTGTTATCTTTGAGGGTAAAGTTTTAATTTAATTATCTCTCTCTCTCTTGCTCAACAATGTCACTAAGTGGCTATCAACAATTAATATAACAAATTAATTTATTTTCATGGACATTATCAAAGTTAACAATTGGTTTCTCAGTTAATGATAATGAATTTGCTTTAACATTAGTGTTTCTAAATTCTGCGCTGCTTATACACTGCCCCATAGTGCTTAAAGTACTCCCTGGGCAGTTTACAATGTAATGATGCAAGCTACACACTGCTCATCCCCCATCTACCTGGGTACTCAATTTATCAACCATGGAAGGATGGAAAGATGAATCAACCGTGAGCTAGCTACCACTTTTTCTCAACTCATGGAGAAAAGATATTTATACTATGTACCATTAATTTCCATGTTATTCGATTTGATAATTTAATAGAGCAATGACAACTTTCACAAAGATATATTGCACTTTTAATCAGTATCTTATTTAAAATGCAATCCTGTGTATGCTTAATTAGAAGTAATCTACCTGTCTTTAATAGACACTACTCTCTAGGTGGATTCTGCACGATAAAAGATACAATTTTTTTCTGAAGTTAAAACTGACCGTTGTTGTGGGTTTTTCAGGCTCTTTGGCCATGTTCTGAAGGTTGTTCTTCCTAACATTTGCTTGGGAGAGCAAATTACACCAGAGCACAGAGTGTTGTTCTCTGAAGATGCCGGCCACAGAGACTGGCGGAACGTTAGGAAGAACAACCTTCAGAACACGGCCAAAGAGCCCAAAAAACCCACAAAAACTATTAGATCCTGGCCGTGAAAGCCTTCGCAAATACATTAAAACTGATCATCTTTTTTTTATCTTTCTCATTCACTTCATTAGAGACTTTCACTGAACTAAGTACCTTTCCTAAAAGTGTTCTAGAAAACTTAGTTCTACAAATCCATAATTAAAACAAAACAATATTCTTACCAAGCAGCAAAAACAAGTATCCATTATCCCTATCAACTCCGGCAGGGATAAGTCTTTGATTTTAATAGTACCATCCTTCAAAATAATAAGAAAGAGAGAGTGAGAATGTATATGACTTCCCATGAGTAGCAAATGTAGTCTGAACAGCGTTTTAAAAAGCTCCATGTGAAAGATGAAGATGTGAACCATCGTCTCAAATTTGAATTGTAGGGGGACAGATCCCATACAAAAGGATTTGGCATAAGTTAAATCAGGATCTGATGGTAGAGCTCTGGATAATTCACAATAGATTAATGAATCTATCTATTGGCTGAAATCCAGTAGTAAACTGCAATTATAGCAGGCCCACTGAATCAGTAGGGACTTGAGTCAACTCCTCTGCAAGCTCAATTGATTTATTGTGCCTACTCCAGCTATCACTTACTATTGATTTCAGCCATTATTTAGCAAGAAGCAACAACAAAATAATTTTCTTCATTTTAAGTCAGGCTGTTGCAATGAAGAATGACTAAAACTTGATTTCGGTCCTGCTCTTGGGGAAAACATACACAGGATCAGATTATGATCAGATGCAACCTGTTCTTTAATTCTAACTGTATTTTTGCACTTGACTGTATTGGTGGATTGGGGGGGCGGGTTTCTGGTAAAGTAGAACTGGATGAATTCCATATTCCTCTAGGGATTTAAAACTATGTACTTTTTTGCTTATTCAACAACAGACTCTCCGAAACTCAATAAATTAAAAATAACAAGGAGAATGCTAACCTTGATAGCTTGTTCAAAGTTGAGAACTTTTCGATTAACTTGGTTTCCAATCATACCCGCATCCATTTTGGGATCCATCATTTCAATAGCTGACATTGCTTCAAAAAGACCAAAACTAAGGAAAGCAACGCACACACAAAAAACCAAGGTTGGCACTAATAAATACATAGATACACAGAGATCATTATTTCAAAGCATTGTATTTAAATATACACTTACAAAGCAGAATCAGAGTGTACTGAAGTTACTTTGGCATATTGTGCAACGCTGGGCAGTTATTTTAAGGACAAATACAGACTCCATAAATTCTTCATAGTTTTTAATTGCTGGAGCAATTTAAAATTAATATGATTCGCTAGAGAAGAACAAAACAACTAAATACAAAGCTAAGAAAACTAGGATCGTTTATTATGAATATACTTTAAAACACAATCCTATTAATTAGGAAGGAAACCTCGCTGTATCCAAAGGGTGCTTACTCCCAAGTACAGTGGTGCCCCACTTGACGATTACCCCGTTTCACAACAAAATCGTTTCACGATTAGGTTTTTGCGATCGCTACTGCGATCACAAAACAATGATTGAAAGGGGGAAATCCGCTTTACGACGATCGGTTCCCTGCTTCGGGAACCGATTCTATGCATTACAACTATCAAAAACAACTGATCTTCGGGTTTCAGAATGGCCGCCCACTGTTTTCCGGACCTATTTCTGGGAGACAGTGACCAAAAATGGCTTCCCCTATGGAGGATCTATGCTGGACGATGAGGTATTTCGCCCACTGGAATGCATTGAACCGGTTTTCAATGCATTTCAATGGTTTTTTTCTTTCGCTTGACGACGATATCGCTTAACAGCGATTTTAACCAAATGGATTGTCGTCGTCAAGCGGGGCACCACTGTAATAATTATGTTTATGATTACAGTTTATGCACCAGGTATTGCAGGACTAAAGGCTTAGGACAGACGTACTGAAATCCAGCAACTAAGCATGTTAACTAAGCAAGTTAAGTTAAATCCAGCAACTAAGCATGTTCTTGGCTAAGGTGTGTGAATGAATATATTTTCAACAACAATTTTAATACAACAATATTATGTATGCAATGGTGTCTAGCTGTTACTGGAGAAGTGTGTGACAAGATACTATAATTAATTTAACAGCAAAAACAAAGAAGTCTTCTGGCATCTTAAAGACTAGCAGGTTTTATTTAACATAACCTTTCATGAGTGTAGCCCACTTTATAAAACACACCAAATACAATCTGTTAGTCTTGAAAAAGTTATAGGATTCTGTTTTTAGTACAACAGGCTCCTCCTCTTGAAAAGGGCTTATTTTATGGCCAATACGTTTGTGAAGGTGATGGATCCAAAAGAAAGGCCTTCCCAACGATCTTAAAACCTGAGAAGGCTCATATAGATAGATGTGGTCCTTCAGATAACCAGGACTCAAGTTAATTGGCACTTTATAGGCCACAACCAGCATTTTGAACTGGGCCCAGAAACAGACCTGTAGCCAGGGTAAGCATTTGATCCAGGTGAAGAGATTAGAACACACATGTGAAAAAGTGGTATTTTTGTTGCAAACTCACAGTTTGTCATGAAGCAACTCCCCCAACTTCAATTCTAGAAGAAAATTCAAAAATAACACATTAGGGAGATGTAAACATTTTTTAAACTAAGGCTATTGTATAATCCTACACAAAGAGAAACAAGCATATAGGCCAAAGTCCTACTCCCAATTTATGTTTGTGTTTGGGACGGGCGGACAGTGAGGCACTTGGCAGCAGAGCCCATTTTTCTGTCACCAGGAGAACTCTCAGTGTACTTTTACTTCAGGATGCTTCTGCCAGCAAAATAAAACAATGGTCTCTGGATCCAACTCCATACATTTCAAAGTGTTCTATTTTAAAAATCAATTAATGTAAAACAATAAATGTACTCAAGTTTGAATTTAATCATTTTGAAAGTTAGCAAAGAAATAGCATATGAAAATTAACACTGGCCAGAATCCTATTGGTTAGTTTGTGTAAGTACGGTGGCATAAACCACAATAGCAAATTGTTGCTAGTTAAGAAGTTGCCACATGTGTTCCTTGTATACCATCTCACATAAATGGTGCACGACAAGGGATACAAGCAGCAACTTCTTAATCTGTAGCAATTTGCTGTAGAACTTTATGCCACTGCACTTAGAGTGGCATAAAGAACCAACAGGATTTTGGTCAGTGATAAAGATATCTTAAAGTGCTTTACCTACCACTGTTTCTAAAATTACGTATGTAAAGAATTAGCACTTTAAAAATATATATATTTAGACCCAGAATTTCAGACAATCGCAAGATATATTGAGTTTGTCTAGAAAAAAAGAGCCGGGGATCAAGTTTAACATGCACAAGGCTGCTGTCAACAGGAACAATTTATGATTTACTGTTTTCCAGAATCAAGGAGGGGAGTGCATCAAGAATGCATTTAAGAATAAACAAGGGAAACAAAAGAGAAGAACACCTGCATTTGCCAACAAACTGGTCTAGCTGATGTTTTGACCTCTCACCAGCTGCAGACAAGAAGAGAGGAAAAGGCAGGATTCTGCTCTCCAGGTTTCTCACCCTGTAATTCTTTTTTATGAATTTGTAATATTTATTTTGATGCATGTGTGAGCAATCTGCACATTGCTCACACATGCATGCTGCACATACTGCAGCTCATAGGATGCTGTAAACATACACATTTAAAAATGTCACCAAACAGAACTTTTCAGCATCTCTCTCTTTCACGGTTCAAGAAGAGCTGCCAGTAAGCCAGATAGCTGGCATGTAGGTTGGGATGGCAGCAGTTACAGTGCAGAGAACTAACCCAAAGTTTTGAAGCTGGTCTCAGCCATGCCATCTGATGCTAACAGTTAGTTGAACTGGGCATCTCACCAGTATTTGTAAATGAAGCCACAGGTGACTGTATTATTTGTATTTCCATCTCAATGAATCAGAGATGGGTCTATTTCTGGTGCCTCTGTAGCTGGAATGATACACTACAGACTCCCCCACAGTCCCCACCATGTTTAACTGGTGGCCTATCATAAATAGCAGAAGTTGTCTATGAACTTACAAATGATGTACTGTACAGTAGAACAGATAATTTTGGCAACAAACCAGAAGCAACAGAAACGGTTGGGCCGTGTTTAAGCAGCAGCTGGCAATGGCAATTCTCTTCATAAAAGCTTTATGGTAGCTTTATTGACTCTGGCATTACTAGTTTAGTAGCTCCTCGGGTCTACTAAACTGCCGCTCAACCTTACTGCTCCACCACTGTTAATCTCATAACTGATATTTCCTAAATATATATGTAGGACAATTTACCTCTGCAGCAATCTTCAAAGTCTTGTGTAATATCTATCCAGTTCGTGTTACTCTTTTCCATCTTCTCAGGCATACCGAGCTCCCAGCCCGAATCATCATCTTCTACTGAAGCCTTCATAACCATGATCTTAAACCTACACAGACGTTGGTCATAGAAAACAAAGAGAGCCAAACATTGTTACTGACAAACTGGGGAGGGCATAGGCTGTATACAATTTACTAATCCTTCGTTCTTTGGGTTTTTAAGACTGGCAAAATGTACAGTATAAGGGATGCGGGGCGCTTGTGGGCATCCCTTACACAAAATGTATAAGGGATACCCGGGCTAGTGGGCAGGGACGGTCAACCTCTTCGGATCCACGCTACGCTCGACCACTGGATTAGCCAGTCCATCTGGAGCGGGGTGTGTGTGTGTGGGGAATCATACACAGCCCCGGGCTCGGCGGCCACCAGTTAAGCACCGTGGAGGCTGCAAGGGGCCTCCCACCTGATGTCCCAGGTGACGGGACGCGCTTCCGGAACCCCGTGGCCGCTGCTTATCTACCGGGCAACTCCCGACGGCTGGCAGAAAAGGAGAAGAGAAGGGGGGGCGGAGCCTCCACCACACGATCACCTCGACAGGACCCGTCGCCTCCTTCCAGCAACGCCGGCCGAAAGCACCTTCGGTACTTCCCTTTTCTCTCCGAAGCCCCGACCATAGAGTCAAAGAAAGCGGGCACGAACTTGGCTGTTGCGCGTGCGCGCGGCTCTCCGACCGCTAAACGGATTCCGGAAGGAATGGCAGCCCTAGGAACCGCCCTTCCCACTTTCATTATAGAGATATTAAAAAAAGTAGAGAACGCGTGAGGCACACAAAAGTGGCACTTTTAATGCTATTAAAAAAAATCATTTCAGTGTGAGGGCTCACGAATTAAACTCTGCTTCCTCAGATTCCCAAAGTCTTAATATTTTTAGACCATTGATTTATATGCACGCTATGTGTATATTCAACCGTGCCTCTGGAGTGTACATTTAGGGACACGGTGTTCCGCTGCTTCTTTCGATCACCCGCACGAAATAGATGGCCAGTAACGACTAAACTGAACGGAGTGTGGCAGGTTTTGCCTTCAGGAGACTGACGGGTTTCCAGGGGTGGCTTCGGTGCTCTGGCTCTGACTTCAGAGAAGCAAGAGCGGCAGTTTCTCCAAAGAGAGAAAACCAGGACTTGGTTGTCACAGTACTTTGGCTCCCTGTTTTATGAAAGGTGCCTTGTTGTTGTTTAGTCGTGTCCGACTCTTCGTGACCCCCATGGACCAGAGCATGCCAAGCCCTCCTGTCTTCCACTGCCTCCCGGAGTTGGGGGTCAAATTCATGTTGGCCATTACCGCAGGACTTGTTGCGAATGTTAAAACAGATACATTTGTGGGTGGGTGTTTTTACTAATCATATGAGGCAATAGCCAATTCCAATCAGCTCACCCCTTTTTGCTCCTGACCTGGAGGTTGTTTGTTTGTTTTTTTAATTCTGCTGCTGAGGCCTTCTACTTTTTCAATCCTGAACGATTAGAACAGACTTCTGTTTGTGCGATCAGTTTCCTTTCTCCAAAAGGACAGGGATGAGGAGTGGTGTACTGGTGATGCACTAAACCGGGCCTGATGTTTTGGATAGTGGGAACGCCCAATCTTTTCCCCTTATCACCATAAAGTATTGTGTTTTTTTTAAAAAACCAAACTACCAAGTTTAGCACTAGAATAGATTATCACTGCATTGATAAAAAGTATTTGTATAGCTCTAAATCACCTCTTCATGGGCAAAAAGAGAGAGAGAGAGAGAAAGAAGCTGAAATTGTTATGACATAGAAAAAACTATGGCAAACTACTATGGCTCTGCAGTATGTGTGTATGTGTACGTTGTGGAGAATTTTGAGAAACCATTCCTTTTGCCTAACATGCAATACCGTACTGTACTTTTAACAGTCCACCAGCTTTGCAATGAACCATAACAAAAGAGCTGAGGATGGGCAGAGGGCAGGATCAAAGGAAGTGGGCTGTGGTGCATAGCATAGCATAGGCATCCTTCAGTCTCGAGAGACTATGGTAACATGCTCTGTATCAAGGAGTGTCCTCTCGAGAGCATGAAGCCTGGGTAAAGTAATATGGAGGATAGGCTGTTACCCAAGCAACAGATCTCCAAGAGCCAATACAACTGGTTCCAGCAACGTCGCATGAGTTGGCAGAACGACACGAACTGCCTTTGGGACTCCAGCTCCGGATTTTGCCTCTAGGTTAACTCCTGAAGCCTTTTCCATGAGTGGATATAGCCACAAGGCAGATCAGACAGATTGAGGGCCCAGTGTGGACCCTGGCACTAAAACAGACTGGTTTCCAAGTGATCACCTAATCCTAATAGAAGGGTAAAATAAGCTGCAAATCAACCTGTAGTGTAGTTGGAGACAGTTCTGATATTCCCTCAGAATCTCTTTAATAAAACCTCCCACTATATTTCTCTCTCTGTCTCTGTAATCTTTGCTGATGTTTCCATTAAATTGTTCCTTCAGAACACCTATATCTGGCTACAGTTCCACAATAACAAAATAGAAAGTACTGACAGATTGTGTTTTTTAAAAAAAGACCCCTTAAAATAACTTTTAGCAGCAAGGTTCAAACCTTAACAATCCAAACACTGTTAAATAAAGTCTAGGCTGGAAGACAGGAACCCAATGGAAGTTCCTGAGGAACAGCTTTCTATCACCTTTTTTACTTGCTTTTCTGTTTCTTAGACAACATTTATCTACATGCAAAGGTCTCATCAATCTTGGATAAATATCATAGTTTACAAAAGAACACAATCAGTTTGGGGGGGGAGCCCAAGATAAGGAGAATCCCAAAACAGTGTAATGATGACTGAGTGTCTTAATGATTGTTTGGAAAATGAGCAAGATTGAACGAATCGTGATAGGCAAAGAAGATCAGATAGGATCTGCTCGCCTGGACACTCCATGCAGTGGGAGGGAGGAAGAGTGTGTGTTTGTGATTGGGTTTATTAAAGATCTGGAGCAGTTCCTCTCTTTTGGCGGGAAATGAGAACGGAGTCTCTTTTTGAACATTAACAGATTTATTTTGTTTAACATTAGGTGAATCAACAAAACTTCTACAGGTTCAAACAAACTAATATTGGGCAACTGGCCATACTGTGGGGACAACAATTCTTAGAACTGACGGGATTCATTGGGGGGCTGGCCCAAAACGTTCTCGATCAGTGGGCTTCCTCATCAGAGCACTCCAGACTGCGCAAATTGTCCCACAACAAGGGTGTCTGGCCCAACCTCCCTCCGGTGGTGTCTGGTTGAAGGAAGAGTCCGGACGAATCACCTTCCTCGAGGGACCTTGTCCCCGTGGAAAAACCATGACCGTCCATTCTAATGGATCCACCAGTGTCCCCTTTTTCTTAGATGTACCTGGATCAGGTAGTAATCGTCCTACCTTCAAATTAGGGAAGTCCTCTAACAACCCTCGCATTCTGTCATATTCCAATTCTTTTCTCTTCTTTCTTCTCCTTCCTTTGTTTCTCCTGTCACCGGTATTCTGAATTGCCCCTTCCTCTCCTGTTTCCTCCTCCCACAGAGGCAAAATTAACTCCTCCCCCTTCCTCTCTTCCACCAGATAAATCTCAACCTTTTCTCTCTTTCCCTTTGATTTTCTTTCTCTTCCTCTACATTCATCTCTTCACTTTCTATTATCTTTCCTTACTCTATTTCTCCTTTCATTTCAGGCGTCCTTAGTTGAGGGGATGGCTCACTCTGTTCTTTCTCCTCCAAGCTGAATGTTCAGATGTCCCTCTACAGCTCATTCACAGTGTTCTTTTGTAAACTATGAGATTTGTCCAAGATTAATGAGACCTTTGCATGTAGATAAGGGCTGTTTTGGCTAAGCAATAATACTCATAAAACAATAAATATGCAAACATTTTAAATAGATGGAATGATCCTAGTTTTTTAAAAACGCACCATGTCTACCCCAAAAATTGTCCAAGGCGCCTCACTGTGACAAATATACGAAGAGCCTATAGCAAAATAAATACAGTAGGAGTTATCATAGAAACAAAAATGTATCTTCATGTGCTTTTAGGAAAGACTTTTATTATGCAATCATCCTGCCTCCTTTTCAGAATTTCAGAGGGGATTCAAACGGTACAGTCTTCCCTTTCTAGCCTCTTGCCTTCTCTTATTAGCACTCTTTGCTTTTTCTTACCAGAAAAAAATTAATAAAGGAAAAGTTGGAAGAGTTGCACACAAGTGCCTTTGGATAAATAGTGCTAGGAATGCTGTTTGGCAACATCCTAAAATTAAGCAGTAATTGATTCTAGGAGCTAACCAGAATCCTTTTGGTGATTTATACATGTATAGATGTAACTGCCTGTCCTTTCCTCACCTCCCCCATTCGCCAACCCTATTTGTCCCTCAACCACTATGTCTTCATTTTTTCTCTCTGTTGCGCCTCTGTTTGCACATGTAAATTTGCTCTTCCTTTTTAAAATAACAATTACCCGTATTTTTCGCTCCATAAGACGCAACTTTCCATAAGATGCACCAATTTTTAGGAGAAGAAAACAGGAAAATATAATCTGTTTTCTTCGCTCCATAAGACACACAGACTTTCCACCACCCCCTGTTTTGTGGGGGAAAAGTGTGTCTTATGGTGCGAAAAATACGGTAAAAATGCACAAAGATGTACATCACATCTTTTTAATAATGTTTTTTAAAGGGCAGTACTGGGGCATGACATTCCCATCATCTGATACCCATCCAGCCCCCATCATGTCAACAGTGAAGTTAGACACCCCCCCACATACTGGATTACATTAGACATCCTTCAGTCTCAAGAGAATATGGTAACATGCTCTGTATCGAGGACTTGGAACAACATCTAGTGTGGCTGAGAAGGCCAATTCGAGAGTGACAATCCCTTCCACACTGAAGACAAATACAATCTGTTCCCTGTCCACCTCCCTGATTTTGCTGCTTTCGTGACTGCCTCTTTGCCTCGGTCTGCTGGACAAGGGTCTCTTCAAATTGGGAGAAGCCGTGATGCAACACCTGCCTCCAGGCTGAACACTCAGATGTCAGGGTTTCCCATCTGTTAAGGTCCATTCTTAAGGCCTTCAGATCCGGCTTGCAGATGTCCTTGTATCGCAGCTGTGGTCTCCCTCTGGGGCGATTTCCCTGCACTAATTCTCCATACAGGAGATCCTTTGGAATCTGACCATCAGCCATTCTCACGACATGCCCGAGCCAATGTAGATGTTGCTGTTTCAGTAATGTATAGAAGCTAAAAATTCCAGCTTGTTCCAGGACTACTCTATTTGGAACTTTGTGATACCAAAAATGTATTGGAGGCAACGCATATGGTAGGTGTTCAGCTTCCTCTCCTGCCGTGCACAAAGGGTCCAGGACTCACTGCAGTACAGGAGTGTGCTCAGGACACAGGCTCTATAGACCTGGATCTTGGTATATGTTGTCAGCTTCTTATTGAGCCATACTCTCTTTGTGAGTCTAGAGAACATGGTAGTTGCTTTGCCAATGCGTCTATCCAGCTCGACATCTAGAGCGAGAGTGTCAGAGATCATTGAGCCAAGTACACAAAGTCATGAACAACCTCCAATTCTTGTGTGGAGATGGTAATAGAGGGAGGTGAGTCCACACCCTGGCCCATGACTTGTGTTTTCTTCAAGCTGATTGTTAGTCCAAAGTCTTGGCAGGCCTTGCTAAAATGATTCATG